CTGCATTGCATTAGAATAAGGCACCATCTGTAACTGAGACTGAGGCATGAACATCTGAGGTTGTGTCATTGGCATTTGAGCTTACAAGTGGCTTGTTGCATCCGGGGTTGATAAGGTGACATTTGCATCCTTGGTTGAAACTGTTGAGGAGCATTCCTATAAGTAGTAGGAATCTTATAACCCGGAGGATAACCATGTATCTTGAAGCACTTTTGAATTGTATGCCCTGTCTTTCCACAATTAGTACAGATTGGTTTCTGAGCTGGTCTTGCAGTGTTATATGCTGCAATATATCCCATATCTCCATTCTCCATCACAGGAGCTTCAGTACCATAAGCAATCGTCTGAAAAGCCACATTGTCAACTTTAGAAGAAGGACGGATTGACTTTTGTCTTTCATCTTGTGTCACAATATTGAAAGCCTCTTCTAATGTAGGAATTGGCTTTAACATCAAAATATGACGACGAGTCTGCTCATAACTCTCATTCAAACCCATTAGAAACTTAGTAACATGACTTCGCTGCTGTAGTTTCTCCCACTTCACTGCAGCATCACATTCACATTTACCACATGTGCAAACCGGAAGATCAACATAGTTCTTATGCTCTTCCCATAAGGTTTGCAATTCTGTATAATAAGCACAAATGTCCATAGAACCTTGCTCAATCTTACTGAGTCTTTGTTCTATATCATACACCCTAGGCGCATCATCTTGCTTAAACCTAGACAACAAATTCTTCCAAATTCCTTCAGCAGTAGGGATAAAGAGTAAACTCTGTCCAATCTTCTTGGAAACTGAGTTCATTAACCAAGTAGCCACTGTATCATTACAACGTGACCAAGCACCAAAATCCCTATGATCACTCGCTGGTTTCACAATCGTTCCATCTATAAATCCCAACTTATTTCTAACATTCAAAGCCATCCAAACAGATCGACGCCATGAATGAAACTCTGAAGCAGTATTAAGTCTATCAGAGACTAAAACCAAACCTGCGTGGTCATTCCTGTGTAGATGATATGGATTTTCGTATTGATCTGTTGGATAACTCATCGAATCAGTCGGAATACTTGATGATGGACGGAAAGTCATCGGAATCGCAGTGTTACCACAAGAACTCATAATTTGTATAAGAGTCAAGAAATGTGAGACGAAATCAGTGGAAGAAAATCAAAATTCGTCAACACAGGAGGTCAAAGAAAGAAAGAAAAGAAGAAATCAGATTCAAAAAGAAGATCCGATGAACAATTTGCAAAACGCAAGAATCAGAAAGAAAACAAACAATGACTGGAAGATTCAGCTCCGACGAAGATTGCGGAAGCTTCGTTGATAAGCTCTGATACCATATTAACTCCGGTGAATCGGAGAAGATGAACACGAGCAAAGAAGAATCGGAGTCAAAGAGAATCTTTATTCAACAGTCAAAAACAGAGTTTGTTACAAAAACTTGTTGAAAATAAAACTGTAATCTTAAGCTTATATATACAACTTAATAATCGACATTAAACCAATACCAAGTTAACCAGAGTTAACCGGATCAAACCATCTCCAATACTTCGTGATTGAAATAGCAAGCTATATGAATGAATAAATTTTTATTATCATCGCATAAGGCATCATAACTGACCTTTAAAACACTCACAATATCCGCGTGAAGGCGATTCTTCAAACTTGGTAGAGCATTTTTCCACTCTTGCTTGGATTTTCTCTTGAAGTGGGAGCCCATAACCTTTAGTCCTAGAGGAAGTTGACTAGCAAGATTTGCAACTTCCCAAACAAGTTCTGTGAAATCATATTCAGGGTTCTTCTGACCAAAAGCATATATACAGACCATTTGAAAAGCCTCATGAGTTGATGGAAAATCCACTTTATAAATATGGTTGATCCCATGTGCCTCTAAAACTCTTAGATCTTGTGTTGTGATGATAATCCGACTTCGAGGACCAAACCACCGAGTTTCTTTTGCCAAGGCATCCAGTTGTTCTAACCGATCAACATCATCAAGAACGAGAAATATTTCCTTGTCTTTCAACCTTTCTTGTGCGACTCCTAAATTAGGAACCATGATATCTTTTTGGTTGAGCATCTCAGACAACATATGACTCTGTAGTTTCAATTGTGCACTTTTCTCATCAAGACCAAGTTGTCGATAGCTTTCTTTAATATTGACCATGATTGCTCTCAACTGGAAACTATTAGAATATTGTTCAAACAGAAATCTGGCAAC